CATACTCCTGGGTGAGTGTGTTCTTACATGCTCGCTTTACTTTATTTGTTCCTTCATGTGTTACTTCAAGAGTGTTCCATATTTCTTTTGGTGTCTTGCATTGTGTGACCCTGAAAAATTTATTATGAGTTAAGGCAAAAACAATAGCGTTTCGGGCTCTTACATCATATTGGGCACGCTTGTTTTCATCCGGCGTCCATTGATCAAAAGTCTTTGGAACAGCTCCAGACTCCGTTGTTCTCATCGGAATGTAAGGACCATTGAGTACAGCATCCCAAACACCGTAATCTAGTATTTGTAAAAATATTTCCATTCTTGCTTTCCAAAATTGATAGTCTTCTCCTTCAAATAATGGTGGTCTGTTTATTGAGGCTCCTTCCCTGTAAACCTGATTTTGCATAGACATCTTGAGAGATCGTTTAGAAATATCTTATCTAACCAAGCTCTGATACCACTTGTTAGACAAATGACATCTAGAGGAGGGTGAATAGATGCACAAATTAAAATAGATATCAAATTAAAAATTTATTTGTGAGTCAATAATTTGTTTAAACACAGATAAAGCGGAAGCGATAATATAATCAGGAAAAGAGAAAGAGATAAGGGAAAGAGAAGAGCACACAAGGATTTATACTGGTTCGGGTATAGCCTACCCTACATCCAATTCCCAGTCAACTCTTAACACAAGAGTGACTCGCAATTCACTATCTTTCAAATTCAGTTTACAAATTACAATCAACTCAACAGAAGAACCAGTAAAAAGTAAACTAATTAAAAAGACAATCACCTTCTTAGAAATCCACTAAGGATGAACACCTCCCTAGAATCCCACTAGGGATGAACACCTCCTTTGAACAAATCAAAGGATGAAAAAAACACCTCCTTAGAATCCCACTAAGGATGAACACCTCCCTAGAATCACACTAGGGATGAACACCTCTTCTGAACAAATCAAAGGATGAAAAAAATACCTCCTTAGAATCCCACTAAGGATGAACACCTCCCTAGAATCACACTAGGGATGAAAATCTCCTTTGAACAAATCAAAGGATGAAAATGCCTCCTTAGAATCTCACTAAGGATGAACACCTCCCTAAAATCACACTAGGGATGAAAAACACCTCATTTTCCACCAATACAAAAAGGATGAAGGTAATAAAAATAAGAATAGTCACACCTGGATAATGGAGACAATAAATTGTAGAAGCTTGTAGAATGCCATTCTCCAAGAATAAGTGTGATTAATAATGAGAGCATAGAAGACAGTAGAGAAGAGGGTTTTCTCAGAAGGTGTAAAATATCTCTGTTGCTTTGCTCAGAATTCTTTTCTCAAAACTGATTGAATGTAAATTGTATTTTCAATTCTATAATTGTGTATTTTTTATTTTTCATCAAAACTTAATTAAATAGAAAAATAGCATCAAAAAATGACCGTTGGATATTAATAATATCATAAAGAAAATCAGGATGTATTAAAAAACATTTATTCTTTAAAACAGATATATTTTTCAAATTTGAATTGTCATAATTGATTATGTTACTAGTATAATCAATTATGACAGAGAAAATCATTTTTCCATTTCTGATGCATCATAATTGATTATGACAGAGAAAAATATCATGTTATGAATTTTATCACACTTGTGCTTTGGAGGTTTGTGCATAATATTACTTCATCAACTTGTACCTCCATATCCAGTATTATAAGACTTCATCTAGTCTTCAGGAATCATCTTGGGCTTGCTTGAATCATCATCTTTATCAAAAACATATCTTGGGCATGTAGGGAAATGTTTCACATTTTCACCAATGTCTTAAATTCATCTTGTCCTTAATTTTATCTTGAATGGTGTTGACTTGAATCATCATCAAAATCATCTCTTGGGAATGTAGGGACATTTCCATCAATCTCCCCCTCATTGCTTTCACCAGGTATAGGGCCGCAATCAATATGAAATGCTTAGGTGTGTGTGTGAAGGGAGGAAAATGCATACTCAACCCTCACCTGCAAAACAAACAGAAAAATCTCAGGCAGATATAACACATGTCGTCTACCCTAAGATTCAATAGTTCAATAATTTTATTAGTAACACTAACAAAACATCAAGAACAAATGAGGTAGAAAAAAGAGAAGGAAACAAACATTTAAAACTGACATATATCTCGCACACTCATCTAATTAGGCTTGACTCTCTAACTTGACTATCCCCAGTGGAGTTGCCATCTGTCGTAACCGAAATGGCGGCGGGACAACGAACCAAAATTTTAAAAAAATCAGTATCAGAGTTTTGGAGTCACCACCATAGTTTATTTAGGGAAACTATGGAAAAACCATAAAGATAAACTAAGGTCTATGAAAACCAAATTCAGGTTCGGAAGTCGATTACGAGTAGGAAAGGTATTAACACCTTACAACGTCCGTCCTAAGACAATTACCCTTAGTTGAGTGTGCAAAATTAAATGTCATTTTAAAAATGTTTATTTTCCTCCAAAATCAGAAAATAGAGAAAGAAAAAGGAAAAAGGAAAAGAAAAGGACTAAAATATTTTTTGTTTTTCGGGGCCCGACAAGGATTGACCTTGCTCTTATGTATTCTCATTGAAAATGAGAAATCAGGGTTATGTAGTTCTTTGTAGAAAAATTTGTGTATTTGATTAATTTTTGAAAATTTTGTTTTTTGAAAAGGTTTTATATTTTATTTTGGGTTTTGAATATTGTTTTTGATGATTTGAAGACACATAAGGACGTGTGCGGCCATACCCATGTTTCAACATTTATTTAAAAGGAGAGGACATGACGACGCAAGTGGTCGTACCCGTACCTCAAAATTTATTTAGAAGGAAAGAACATGATGACACGAGTGGTCGTGTCCGTACCTCAAAGCTTATTTAAAAATAGAGGACATAACAACGCGAGTGATCGTACCCGTACCTCAAAGTTTATTTAAAAATAAAGGACATAACAACGTGAGTGGTTGTACTTGTACCTCAAAGTTTATTTAAAAATAGAGGACATAACAATGCGAGTGGTCGTACCCGTACCTCAAAGTTTATTTAAAAATAGAGATCGGATGTCAGAAACTACTAAATCGCGCGTGGGGCTGACAACCCTAGATCGAACATGGGGCCAACAACCCTAGATCGAACGCGAGGCCAACCGCCCTAGACCAAACGCGAGGCCGACAACCCTAAATAGAACGCAGGGGCCGACAGCCTAGGGACGTGGGCCGACAACCCTAAAGTCAACATGTAAGCACCTACCGTAGTTTAAAATATGTAACATCATTCAACCTTGCACAATCCAAATAGCATAATCCAGTCTAAGATTAGAAATAGTCCATTTAATCTTGCACAAATACCAAAACCTGATTAAGCCCCCACAAGATCCAAACAACATAATAATAGCACAACCCAGTCCAATAATCCATTCCAATCTAAATAATACAATCAATATATAAATCAGTAAAGTCCACAACTAGGATCCAAAATCCTAGATCAAACCTGATGTAAAATAAAGTAAGATGCAGAATTGTAAGAAGATAAGGTGCAAAAATTTTAGCAATAAAGTAAGCAAACCCAAGGAAAATTCTCACTGGACATTAAGATAATTGCCTATCTAGATGTGAAGGTTCATTTCCAAGGATTATGGAGGGAGGAAGAGATGGAATGAAACTAGAAAGAATAAAGACAAGGGCTGGAAAATTGGACTAACCCCTTGATAAATAAATGAAGGGAAGAAACAAAGAAGAAAAGAGGAAGAGAAGAGAATTATGGTGGTGGTGGAGTGTTGGCACGCCACTAGGGGATGAGCCACCCTAGATAAGTGGTGGTTGTCGCCACTTGAACCAAGGTTCAAGATAAGACACTCAAAGAGATGAAACACTCTAAGAAATCTGACAAACTTTTCATAAATGTCCAACCTAATTACATGAGGGGAAGTCTTCTATTTATAGGCTTTTGGGGGAGGGACCTATATGGAATTATAAAAGGAGACATAAACTTAATCTAAACCTAAAGGCTAGAGTCCCCATGGTCCAAATATGTTAAATTCATTCTAGCCCACCAAAAATACCTCTAAGGGTGTGGAGAACATGAAAAAAGAGGTGTGTTTCCTTTTGGTTGTCCCAAGCCAACCAATCCCGCATCCTAAGCTTCTTCCTCTCCAAAAAGGGGTGTAGGACATGAAAAAGGAGTGTCCTACACCTTTGGGCTGCCCATGCATGTATCCTATGGATCCAAGGCTTTTTTTCCACCAAAAAAGGTGGTATTCTTCAAAAAGAAGGTGCAAAAAGTGAGCCTATAAAAAGAAAGCGAAAATAAGTGAAAAACTTAGAAAAAGAAAATACTAAGTAAAGATACTAAGTAAATTCAAAATGGAAGGTAAAGAGGAGGCCTCCCTTCTAGTCATGCTTCTAGTAATCCTCCTAGGGATGACCTCTCCCGCCTCCGGGGCAACTAGGGACTCATCAAAACCTGTAACCCTATCTAAATTAGACCACAATTAACCGACAACTTCAGCTCATGATCACACAACACAAAAGAAATCAATTCAAATCAAACACTCCTCAGAATCACCCAGAACTTGTAATTCCCCAATAACTATACCACGTTTAAAATAAGAATCCACAAACATTTACAGGACAAAATAACACAATAAGGAATGAACAACCATACTCAACTATGAATAAGTGCACCCTACTGCAACTTATGAGACTAAAATCTGCACATCAAGTTTGAACAAAAATCCAATAGCATAACGACATCGCAACAACATAATCAAAATAGGACCCACAGTCCTTAATAATAGTCCAAAAGAAAAAAAAATACCCCCAACTTGGCAACCACAAGGTGAACATTATTCAGTCCATATCCTAGACAGGAGCAATCAAAGAACAATAAACTCAACAACAAGTTTCCCCACAAATGCTAGCAATCAAACATAACAATACTAGCAAACCCACAAACAACAGAGTGCCAAGAAGATGAACTCAGTACCAAACAATGTCCTGGTTTCGATTTCCACCCCAGATCCTTGAGAGAGATTTGATCTCCTCCACGGGCTTCATGTTAGCCAGCGATTCACAGGGAGGGGCATTCAGGCACCTGCCCTTTTCAGTTGCCAGTGGTACGATAAAGCAAGGTTGAGAGGACCTGCGGCGACCTGCTTGGGGCAAGTCACGACCAGGGCTCTGATGAGGATGCAGGTGAAGGAAGCAGAGGGGTCGCGGACGCGCACGCGGTCGGGGTTGGCAACAAGGGGGGGTCGCGGGCACAGGGCTACGGTGAGGAGTTGGCGGCGTGGGCAAAGCCCATGGTGGCTAGGTGAGATGGGGAAGACTAGCGAGTGTGAGTGGGTGAAAGGGAGTGGCAGAGGGGTTAGGGCAAGTGCGGCAAGGTGATGGGGGCTAGGGTTCAAGGTGTCGTGTGGTGAGAGTGAAGATGCAAAGAGGTGGGACTGGACTTATGGTGGTGGCCTGCAGGATGAAGGTTAAGGGTGGTGAGTGGAAGGTTGGGATGCGAGGCCGCAAGAGGGAAGAAAGGTATGAGTGAGGGAGAGTGGGGCTCCAGGAGGTGGAGGTTCAAGCCGCAGGGATAAAAAAAATGAAGATGCGAGAAAAATAATAAACAAATAAAAAATACCAAGGAGAGAATTACCTTAGGACAGTGACCTAATCTCTGTCTTAAAAAATTTTTTTTACTCCCAAAATGTGGCTCCGAAAATTGTGTCCCTCTCCCTTATTCTTTTCCCTTTTTAAAGACCTCTCTTAGGTTAAAGAACAAACCTAATGTAAAAACAAATTGGGCCAAAACAAAAAAATGACCCATTTCTCCTCTTTTTTTTATTATTACATTTTTCTTTTCTTCTATTATTTTAAAGTGCTTAAAGGACATCATCATTTTTGTATATATATATTTTTGTTTTATTTAGGAAATGGAATATGTTAAAAAAAGAAAATTTATTATTATTATTTTTCTTTTTTTCTTGAAAGTATAACATGCTAACAAGAGAAAAGTGTATATTTTTTAATCATACATTTTTCATCCCCTCTTTTTTTAATTTAAAAATAAAATTAAATATTAATAAAAATGGAACTATTTTTTTTTCTTCTCCCTTTTTTTTAATCATTCTTTCTTCATATTTTCAAAACAAATGTTATTTATTTTTATTTACCCGGACGAAATTGGGTGCTAACAACGTTTTATGATTTTTCTAAAAAAAGTCATTTTCTTTTTGTTTCAATACTTTAAGGGTGAGAGAGATTCACCGATTTTGTCCAATTGTTGTAAACTTTGCTCGTCAGTCACTAAGTAGGCCTTAAAACTACTTGAGTATTGCTCTTTTCAATGCCAAAGAAAAAATTTACATAAGAAAGCATCACTTTTATCAAATATACTAATCTTGTTAAATAAGATCTAACATTCTCATTTAGATTTGTTCTTCTTTCAAATTTCTCCATTGTAAATGGTTTCCATCTTGGGGGTAATGATTTTGTCAAAATTGCAGGGTAAAGGGGCTTTTAAGTTTTAGTTTCAATTGTCCTTAAAGATTGTGAGAATTGAACTTTCTTATACTTGTCAAGTTTTGATTGAGTGAGTCTTTGATGAGATCCGCCTTCAATTTGAGTTTCTTCTTCACCTGATTGGTACCATGACGATGATTGATATTTTCATAGGAGCAAATCCTATCAAAGCACATAATTACTTTTCTATTTTCTCATTGTAATGCCTAAAAGGCTTCCATCTCTTCCTTACGTTTTCTTTCACTCCTCTTGAGTTCTACACAAATGTTTGCTTCATTTTTCTATTGTATTTCTTTCATGTAAGATTTCAAGTTCTTGATGATAATATCAATATCCATGTTGATGTTTCTTGAATCAACTTACAAAAACTTACAATAATAAATAGTTGTTAAGAAATTTGAACAAGTTATTTTAAACAATTTACACCTTAAAATCTAGGTTGAACCCTATTGAGTATTTATAAACTAATCTTATTTATAAAAATTTTACTAAAATATTTTAAATAATTACTTCTATATTTAATATTGAATATTATTTTATTAATATAATATTATATACGAAAAAATAATAAATATATTATTTTAATAAAATAATATTTTTTAATAATTTTAATTTTACAAATATTTTAGTTGAAAAAGAACAAAATTGAAGACGAAAACATGAATTACAAAATAATTCTAATAATTTTATCAAAATGAAAAACTGAAATAATATAATGATTAATAGAGATGCACTAAAATGATCAGTTTTCAATTTTTTTAATTTTTAATTTAAATAGAACATGTATATAAATTTATATCTTTTAAATGTTACTATTACACAAAATTATTTAATAATAACTACCCGAACTATATCATATATTTCGTTTTTCATATTTTGAATTCGTATTCACAATTATATATCTTATCCATAAATTAAATAAATGATTTGATAATTAAGATAATTATTTATTAAATGATTATTTTATAAAATTGAAAATAATATTAAAAAATATTTAAAAATTAAATTTTATTATGAATAGTCTTTATTATTATTATTATTTATATGATTTAAATATTTTTATTTTTAGAATATATTTCATACTTATTTAAATATAAGAAATTTTACTATTTTTTATTTAATATTTATTTTTTTATATATGTATTGTGATCTTACTAAAAGATATGTTTATGAAATATATTTACAGTGCTAATATCTTTTACGTCCTGAAAATATATTTTACATTATTGATATTTTTTTATGAATTTTAATTCATTATAAGTTCCTTTTAATTTTATACCAAATATTTCATGACATGATTTTATTAAACAAATAAAAGATACATTTATAAAATTTTGTCATCAAATTAATGATAAATAATTTTTTTATATTTTTAAGTTAAAAGTATATAACTCTCATATATAATAAAATAAAATTAGCTTAAATAAGATATATTAATTATATAAAAATTTAGAAACAATATAACTGAATAAAATATTTTAAACAAATATTTTTAATAAAAAATAAGGAACATTTTGAATGCTATTGTATGTATGTAGTTAATCGATTAACATTATTATTTTGACGTAATTTCCTAGTTATTTTATTATAAAAAAAATAATGAAGGAAATGGATGTGTATTTAAAAAAAACTCTGTTGATTAAGAATAATTTATAGAAACAAACAAAATAATCATTGTTTAAACATACAAAGTAAATATAAACTTAAGTCTCAATTAATAATAATTTATTCACCAAATCCTTAGAAAAATTGAAGAATGTAAAAAATAATATAATTCAATATATAAATAATAATTCATGAAGGAGATTAAATTTTTTGAATTACAATTTACATTTATAGTTTTAATGATATAAGAAGTTATGAAATGAAATCTCAGTATCATTTTCTTAATTAACATATTATATTTGAAAAATAATTAAAATTGTTTTATGGTAAAAAAATCATTACATATTAAATTGAAAAAAATATTATAAATTACACACCAAAAGTGATTCACTGCAAATTTATGAATATCAAAGAATTGATGTTTGAATTCACTTTTTTTTATAAAATATTATTTTAATTTTATTTTTATTATAATTTTTTTAAGATTATTGATTGAAATATATAACTCCATGCACCCTGAGTTATCCAACTAATATATTCTGTATAATTCAAATCAATAAATTAGTCACTTGCTTTTCCTTTACTTATATTATTTATTAATGTTTTTATGATATAATGATATTATAATAAATTTGATTGACTAATTTAAATAATATAATTCAATATCATTATATTCATATATAATAAAAAGTATAAAATGAATAATAATTAAAATAAAATAAAATAGTTGTTATTTAAAAAGTAATATAATTAATATAAAATAAAATAAAATAAAAAAATAAAATTATATTATAATTTTTTATAAAAAAATTATATTAAAAAATTATCTTTAATTTTATATTTACAAAATTTGAATTCAAAAATTTTGTCGATTTTTTTTAATTTAATTATTTGACAATAATAAAACGTTTTTTAAATTGATATTTAATTCAACCGTTATTCCAATCTATTTTTCAAAATACTAATATATATATATATATATATATATATTTTTTTTTTCACATGGTGCATATAGGAAATAGGTGTTTTTCTAACTCATATAATATATTTTTTTATTAAATAAACTTTTACCAAAAATGTATTAAACCCATTAAATTATAGATTTCCATGTAAATAATATGATTAATAGCTGTAATAATTACTTTAAAAACTATAACTGATTTCTAACATTTAACTAAAACTGATTTGTAACTGATTTATAGTGGACAATACGTTAAATTATATCAGATGTTGAATTTATTTTTACTTTTCAGTTTTTAAAATAGTTTTGATAATAATTTCATTTTTTTTAAATAAATTAAAAACTATATAGTAATACTAATTTAAAAACCATTTTAAATAAAAATAAAAACATCAATTATTATTTTTTATTTATAAAAATTATAATAAAAGTAATTTTTCAAAATTGTTCTAACAAAACAAGATTAAGAAAATAAGGGAGAGGAAGAGTTAAATAATTAGGCTTTGGCAGTGATGTTGAAGGAAGAAGTAATCAATTAGTGAGAAGAGTCGCTCGCTCGCAAACTGTGACCAAATCGTCCCGAGTGGCGAGGGGTTGAACCTAGCCGCCGTCACCAACCGTAAAGGAACCTAACCTTTTCGTCAGATCTGAGATTCACTACGCTTCGCATACCCAAACCCTAACTCCACGGGTGGCCAAAGCCAGCGCCGATTCGATGTCGAGTTTCCACGTCGGCGGCAAGGTGGTGGACCGCGTCGATTTGCTCAGGAAAAAGCAATTGCCGTGGCGTCTCGATGTTTGGCCTTTTGCCGTTCTATATGGCGCGTGGGTTTCGGTGATTCTTCCCAGCCTCGAGTTTGTGGATGCGGCGATCGTTGTAGGCGCACTCCTCGCTCTTCACATCCTCGTCTGGCTCTTCACTGGATGGTCCGTTGATTTCAAATGCTTCGCTCACTATAGCAAGGTGAAATGTTTTCTCTGTATTGATTGCGAGTAAGTGCGTTGGGAGAGTTATCTTAGTAATTTTATTTATCTTTGGGCTGTGTTCAGGCTAAAAATATTGACCAGGCTGATTCCTGCAAGATTACTCCGGCTAAGTTCTCAGGCTCTAAAGAAGTTGTTCCACTTCATTCTCGGAGAAGTGTAAGTCCTAACCATTTTTGGATGATTGAATTGAAGCGTGGCCGAGTGTTTGTGTTTTTCTAGTAAGGGTTGAAACACGGAATTTCATAGGTTGGAAGATGATTAGAGCTCAGTGCAATGGGAACTGGAAGAGTGTGTTTGTCAGTTAGTGTCTTGGGTCACTAATCCTTTCTTGTATAGGATGTTTGTTGATATGGTGTAAGATTGAGTTCTAGAAAGTGGATTTAAAAGGAAGTATGAACGCTATCCTCTTAATAAGCAAGTACATTTTTGGAACTATGCAACAATGGTTCGTACTATCCGTGATGGGTCTAACCCAACACACAAAAATTGGCTTTTAAGGTGTGCATTGCCCAAGCCATGTAAACACTATTTAGGTCATAACTCTAGTCAATGTGTATATTACCTGCCTAAAGTAACTGCACTTTATTATACTTAACTTAGCCTTTGTGATTAGTCCCATCATCTTAGTTCTATCCGGCCTAGGGATGACCACAACATTATTCATTGGAAGTTAAATAGTAGTGTATATTTTATTGAATGATTTCCTGTGATGCAATAATATTCTGTAGAGAATGCTGCTGACTGCCTCTCTTAGATCCTTGGTTATTTGTTTTCCTTAGATTTTGGGGGTGAGTGGTGGAGTTTGTGCATGGAATATATCTCAGGAAAACTATCAAGTTCTGGTAACGTTTACTAGATGATTGGGTCAATTTCCGTAGAAGGGGGTTGGTATTATTCTGGAGCGTTCCTCATATGCCAATTTCGAGGATTTGATCTATGGTTTGGACAGGAAAGTTAAAAATTGCAAGGACATTTTTGTTGCTACCTCATATGGATAGAACAATCTTAATCTTTTTGTGATGCTTGAGATAGTAGTACAATTTTCAAGGATAATTTTTTGTGAGGACAAGTTTTACTGGTGTATAAAGGGGAGATAGTCCCTTTTCTTTCAATTAAAATTCCAGTTATCTATGTACTGACATCATATCTCTGTCATTCACTGACTGACTCATGTTTAGCGAAAAATTTTTAGTCATCCACATGTTACATGGTAGTGGTGGAAAGAATCCGTCTAGAATTATTACAGCAAATAGAAGAAGAAAGCCTATTACTGATGGATGCTCACATCCGGAGCACCTAGGAAGTGTGTGAGAAATTGAGCAAGATTTATGAGTTGCAGCAAGAATAGCACGTGGGGCTGATTATGGGCACAAAGTCAAAGAATAAATGCCTTACTTTGAACAGAGGTGATGATCAATGGAGAATGATGGAGTAACCTGTTTTCTGCAGGATGCTGGGTAATTTGATTGATAGGTTTGTCTGATTGAGAAGTTTTCAAGAAGAGTGAATGATGAGTGTTGTGATGAAAATGGAAAGGCTGCTTTCAATGGTTGCAGTCTTGCATTCTGAACATGACTTAGACAATGTTCAAGAATGCAGTCATTGGGGATTTTAGTCATTCATGATCTAGAAACCTTATGAAATCTTCTTGGGTCTGAAGCAAGAGGATTGATTCGATGCAATAATCTGCAGGGAGAAATTCAAGACTTTTTTAGGACCACTTATTGTCACACGGCAGGATTACCTCTGGAACTCTTGCTGAAGGGGCTCAAGTAGGATAGGAGAGTGGAACTAAAAGAGGCATTGCAGGATCCTACCCTTGTTTGGTAATGGAACTTTGTCCAAATAAATGGATTTGTTCAAGAGTTCTGTAGAATCATTGTTTTGAAAACTGGACCTGGCGAACGATTTGATTTGGACTGGCTTGGTGATTGGTTTGAGTGAGAACTAGTAAAGAATTTGTCAAATTGGTGAAACCCAATTCCAAACCACTTTGAACCTGTATTTCACATAAATATAGAATATTTTGGCAATTACTATTAAATTTTATCTGATAAACATCAAATTTAGTCATTATATTAATTTTCATTTTTTTAAATCGTGATTTCTCATTATATATTATATAAAAAATATAAATTTAATTACTAATGGTTCAACAACCACAGTTGAACTGATAAATTGTGAATCTATGTTTTCATTGGTTCAATTGTCTGGTATTTAAAACAGTGAGTAGAATTACATATGTGCTAACACTATTAGACGACCAAAACATAGCATTGGTGTATGTGTTTTGACCCAAAAGGGTTGAAGCTATTTTGCTGTTGGAGCTGGCTTTGCCAGCATGCTTGAATATATATAGATAAGTAGAAATAAATAGATAGATAACCCCATTAGTTTGTAACTAAATAGAGTAGGGTTTTACTCTAAACACACTCTAGTGTTCTTATAGGATTCTGTTAGTCTGACAGGTGTAATCTGTAACTAACTCAGTTATGGGGTGCATTGGCCCAAAGCTTTGAAGGATTTTTAATTTTTTAATTTATTGTAAAGTCCTATGAATTCAATCAAGACTTTTAAATAATATAAACAAGTGTTGTCATATTCAATTAGGATAATAAAGAGTTTTTAAGCAGGTCAACAAATTCTAGTGGTATTAATTAATAACTTATAAAAAGTCTGTTCTATAAAAAGTATATATATATATATATATATATATATATATATATATATATTTCAATGAATTATTTTGTAAAATAATTTTGAGGGATTTCATGTGACTTTTTGTAGGAAGTATATCTATCAAACAATCACACATAAACCCTTGAGACTTTTTTTTTTGGAGATAATTTTCTTTCTTTATCTAATATAATCTATTATTCTCTCTTTATTGAAGGCAATAACGGTGTTCATGTGCAGTACTTGATAACTTTGCAAAAAATGTCATTATGATGATTTCCAATTGAACCAATATATGAATCTTTATTTTCAATATTATTAGATTAGATAATAAGACCATAATTTTAAATTTATTATTTAAATTTAAGAGAAGAAATGAGAATATGCTAATTCATGGAGTGTTAGTACAAAAGAAGATTGAAAAAATGATATTGATTTATACTTTTCTTTACCCAAACCTCGTGTTTTATTTACTCTTGTAATTTTGAATGTTTTCTAAGAATTCAGAGAGTTCTTTCAAATCTTATAAATCTATAAATTGTTTTGAAATTTTATTAATTCGTACACTATAGTAAATTCATTTAAATCCAAACTACAAAATCCTAATCATAAAAGTATTTTAAGAAAGTTTGACAAGTCTTTAACATTTCTTGTACTCTTTTAAAATCTCAATCCAATACACCCCCTTAGTTACAGTTAGTGTTTTTATTCCTTTCTGTATGACTACAAATAGCTGAGTTTATCGTCTTTGTAGATTGGCTCTTTCATTCTTTCTAAATACAAATACTCATTCTGACTGTCCAAAACTGATACAGACATCATCTCAATTATCGATTGGAATTGTGGCCTCTGGGGGCGGGGCAAGTCCTTGAAGTTCTCAAGTTTGCAGTTGAATTTGATAACACTGTGTTTCTATCTTATAACAACAATTTAGAGGGATTATAGGATTTTGGATATAGTCAGATTGATCATATTACTAACTTGATGCATATGTTCTTGATTTTATGTTTATTGATTTTGTATTGTGTTGTTTAGGAGGATAGTTTTCAGGTTGAAAAGAAAATTAGATGCTTATATGTAACATTTTCATAATTTTATGTTTGAAAGTTAATGTATATTTTTTATCTGATGTTCTTGTTTGTTAATGCATATCCTGCATGAATTCATAATTGTAAATATGTGATGCCTTTTATATCAATAATTTCAAAAGTAAACTGTGCTGTGAATATGCAATTTTCTAAGTATGTTTGGCTAATTTCATTTGAATTGTTTGTTTTTTTTCCCTCCTTTATAGGCTCTTCCTTTTGTTTGTCTATCATGGTTATGTTCTTGGTTGTGCAGTCTGCAGGTTCTTCATCAGCTGTGGATTTGGAAGAGAACTACTTTGATTTTAGAAAACAATGTTTTGTGTATTCAAAGGAGAAGGGAACTTTTTGCAAACTTTCCTACCCTACCAAAGAAACATTTGGATATTACATCAAATGCAGTGGCCATGGCTCTGAAGCTAAAGTTCTTGCAGCTACTGAGAAATGGGGACGGAATGTGTGGGTTTCCTTATTCTCTGACCATTTTTATTATTCTTTTAAACACAATCACTTGTGGTGCATTGTAGATATGCGTTATTGTTGGATGTGCATACTTATACATTAATATTTATGAATTGGACTTGGCTTAGATGTAATACCCTATTTTAGTATTTTTGGTGATTCTTGATTTCTTCCTTCTGTCAGGAAGACACGTATCATATCAGTCATCTGGTCTAATGGCGTTATGTTCTTTTAGTTTTCCTCTCTAATGTTCTACTTGTTGATATTTTAGATTTGATTATCCTCAGCCAACATTTCAGAAATTGATGAAAGAGCACTGTATGGAGCCTTTTTTCGTGTTTCAGGTTTCTTTCTTAAATAATATTTGATTTTCTCTTTTTTGTCTGTTATCTTCAAGCAAACTCTTTGACTTGTTCTTGTTTATATTTTAATCAGGTTTTCTGTGTGGGTCTCTGGTGTTTGGACGAATATTGGTATTACAGTTTGTTCACTCTATTTATGTTGTTTATGTTTGAGTCAACCATGGCGAAAAGTCGGTTGAAAACTCTAACCGAGTTAAGACGTGTTAGAGTGGATAGTCAGATCCTAATGGTACATCGTGGTGGCAAGTATGTTATCTCTTTTTTAATAATTAATAACCCATTTTTGGGATTTAAAGGAGTAAAAATTTAATACTTGCATATATGTTTGGATTATAGGTGGGTGAAACTCTCTGGTACAGACCTTTTACCGGGGGATGTTGTCTCCATAGGCCGCTCTTCTGGTCAGAATGGGGAGGAGAAGTCTGTACCAGCAGACATGCTTATATTGGCTGGAAGTGCAATTGTGAATGAAGCTATTCTCACAGGCGAGTCTACTCCTCAGTGGAAGGTGTTATTCTTTTCTGAACTACTCACTAAAATACTCGTCTGCTCAGCAATGGTTTTATGAGATACTTAAAACATAAATTGCTTTGTGTGGGAGGGGATTACATTTTTTCAAAGTTCTGTGTAGTCTATGAAACCTATGTAGTAGCAATACTTCTTTTATTTGTTTCATGTATAATACTTTTGGATAGTTCACTATTGATTAATGTCCAAGCTTTTAAATAGTTTATATCCATAAAAAGTTCTAGAAACATATAAGTATTTGTAATATAGAAACATATAAATATCATTTCTTCGTAAACCAAAGAAGAATTGTTCTTTATGAATTATTTTAAAAGAGTAATGAGGTTAGTAGTGCTATTCCTATATGTAAATAATAGAAAGTATTTTATAATGACAATGATAAACATTTTGAGAAATGTGATTTGAAATTTGGTTTTGCATTATTTTAGTTATATATTTATAATGTTATATGAATCATTGTACATTTTTAAATATGTATCTTTACTCGTATTTTATCCTTTTTTTTGTCTAGAATAAGTGTATCGTTGTATACATATCTGATATGCATATCATATCCATGCATCATAGTGTTTAGTTGATTCTTGTCTGATTTTCAAAATTGTTTCATTATTTGTTTGTTGGTTTGGACATTGCTGACAGTAATTACTTCTGGAGTATATCTCGGCATACTTCTATGCTGGTTTTAGTCTTGAATATCTTAAAGTAAATGATATTTGATTTCGCTCAGGAAGCTAAGCAACTTGTCAGACAGATTACTCATCTGATGAAATATTCTGTTAATATTGAGTTTGTCCTTTTAGTCACTGTTTAGCCATAGTTGTGCAGCACTATTTTTCCTGCTGTCTATTTTAAACATTGATGATTGTTGTACAGAACATTGAATACTGACCTCAGTTTGTTGTTTCCCTAATGTTGAATGCTTATGCATATCCTGACCCTAGTTTTCTTGTTTATCTAATTTATATACCTGATCATATGAATTCATTATTATATTTGGCTCTTTCTTTCACATAAAAAAGAAGTTTGGGATAGGGCATCTTTAATCTTATAGTTGGCTGGTATATCTAAATATGTCTTTGATGAACTATGGAGACTCGGCCTTTTTTGTTATGTTCTCTTGCACAGATCTTATTTAGATATTACTTTTCTTTTAGATTTCAATTGCGGGTAGAGGGATGGAGGAGAAATTGTCAGCAAAGCGAGATAAAAGTCATGTTTTATTTGGAGGAACTAAAATATTGCAGCACACTCCCGATAAGGTTATATTCAAGCTGATATATATATATATATATATATATATATATATATATATTTTACTGTTGAGCTAGTGTTTATGTTTCTCATTTTTGTTTTTAATTTTGTTGGAGTCAGAGTTTTCCTCTAAAAACACCTGATGGTGGCTGCTTGGCTGTTGTGCTGAGAACGGGTTTCGAAACAAGTCAAGGAAAGTTGATGCGAACAATCTTATTCTCTACAGAAAGGGTAAAGTGATATAGGCCTTACACAGCCTGAGTTCGTGATTTCAGTGTCATCTTGATGATTTTTCCCTGATTTCTGAATTGACTAGGTGACTGCTAATAGCTGGGAAAGTGGATTGTTCATTTTATTCTTGGTTGTATTTGCTCTTATTGCTGCTGGTTATGTGCTTGTTAAGGTAATGCTACTCTACAGATGCATGGTGAAGATGGTTTGCACTTAATGGTAAATTGTGATGCGGCTTGGCTAATTGTTAATATTTTTGCTTGCAGGGTCTGGAAGATCCCACAAGGAGCAAGTATAAACTTATACTTAGTTGTTCACTTATTGTTACTTCTGTGATACCTCCCGAGTTACCAATGGAATTATCAATAGCTGTTAATACTTCTCTTATTGCACTGGCACGGCGAGGAATCTTTTGCACAGAGCCTTTTCGGATTCCATTTGCTGGGAAGGTACCTAGAGGCCCATCACTATGTTTCTGCCCTTGTACATCATTTACTTTGTTTGATGTATAGATCATATGACATTTGTCCTTTTATTTAATTTCTTGTGCATACCTTGCCATACAGGTTGATATATGTTGTTTTGACAAGACAGGGACACTTACATCTGATGACATGGTATGCCCATATTAGACCATGATATTGATTTATCATTCTAGACAGCTGTTTGTGGTTTAACTTTTTATTTCCCACTTTGTAGGAATTTTCTGGAGTTGTTGGGTTGAATGGGAGTACAGATTTGGAAACTGATACGAGTAGAGTGCCTGTGCGTACTGTCGAGATCCTGGCTTCTTGCCATGCATTGGTTTTTGTTGAGAATAAGCTGGTATGCTCTCTGCTGGTGATTAAATTGAGCCTTAGTTTTTAGGTCTTGCTATATAGTATTGAATAGTAATGGATATTCTCTTGTGGGAAAAAAAAAACTTACAATGGTCAAGTGACATCCTCACCATTATTATATTCATAAAATTTATTTAAGTTGACTGCGGAGGATACGTTCCCTTGTTGAACAGACAAATGTAACATATGCTACACTTCAATATTTTACTTAAAATTACTTTTTTCTCCTCATATAATCCTCTCTTTTGCAGTTTATGGAATGCCAAATTTAGTGAAGAAAGTTATGAGTATTAAATTTTAAGATCATGACTAACTGACCCCTAAGTGTTCCTTTGTAAAAGATTAAACGAGGATTCTTGAAAATTTTATGCAAAGGAATGCTTCATTTCTTACTTTACCCAATCTGCGTTTTTGGAGCCGTTTCTGAAAATCAAGTCGGCCCCTCATCTTATGATGTTTTCCCTTTTATTTGATTGATATCAGCTTAATCACTTTTGACATACTGTTAGAAGTTACTTTATTGATGTCATGCTACATGTCTAAATCATTTTAGTTAATGATAGATTGTAGTAAAGTTTTGAGAGCAAAGTAAAACTTTTTTGTTTCTAGACTTGGGAAAGGAATCTTCTCTGATTTTGTTTCCACAATTCTGTCACTCCAGATTTTTCTTTTTCTAGGTTATAAATATTTTCCATTCTTTCTATCTAAAACTGTCAAGCTTGAACGGTAGATCTTCATGATTCTGGCTTTAGAGCTTGAAGGACTGTGTGCTTGCTCCTTTTATATTCGCCATTGTCAGTTGATATTATATTCTCATTAATTAGTTCTTTAATTTCCACAGGTTGGTGATCCTCTTGAGAAGGCTGCACTCAAGGGAATTGACTGGAGTTATAAATCTGATGACAAGGCTGTCCCAAAAAAGTAAATGAATCGTTGCTTCTTACTTATTATCTTAATTATGCTTTATTCTGTGTGCAGCTAAAACATTTTCTTTTTTAATCATGTCCAATGTCCTGTTGTTTGAGCAAGGGAATATAGTTGTTGAATATAGGGAAAAACTGTATAGGGTTAATTTCCCTTATGTATTTACCACACATAGGGCAGTGTATTTATAATAAAGAAAGGTACTCCTCAAAAGAGTAACATAATACAAATAGAGTAAATAAAAAGATATTATTTGATATTGTGATTAACAATATCTAACAATATCTCAACAATATCAAACAATATCAACTAATATCTAATCATATCTAACACTCCTCCTCAAGCTGGAGCATACAAATCGTATGTGCCTAGCTTGGTACAAAGATAATCCATCCTAGGTCCCCGTAAAGACTTAGTGAAAATATCTGCTAATTGATCACATGAGTTAACGAACTCAGTCTTGATGTCTCCAGACATAATCTTTTCCCGAATAAAATGGCAGTCAATCTCAATGTGTTTAGTCCTCTCATGAAAGACAGGATTAGAGCTTATATGGAGAGCGACTGATTGTCACACACTAGTGTCGGTTGAGTGACATCTCCAAATTGTAGCTCTTTAAGCAATTGCTTGAGCCAAATAAGTTCACAGGTAGCCGAGGCCATAGCTCTATACTCGCTTCAGCACTCGGATCTTGCCACAACACTTTGTTTCTTACTTTTCCATGAGATCAAGTTACCACCAATGGAAACACAATACCCGGATGTAGATCTTCTATCGAGGGAGATCCTGCCCAATCGGCATCCGAATAGCAGACAACTCTTGTATGATTATGGGAGTCATACACCAAACCTTTTCCAGGAGACTTTTGATGTACTTCAATATACGGATGACTGCATTCCAATGATCTTGACAAGGAGAATTGAGGAATTGACTCACCACACTGACCGCAAAGGAAATGTCAGTGGCGAGTAACCGTAAGGTAATTTAATTTTCCAACTAATCTTCTATACTGTTCAGGATCTGACATTGGCTCCCCCGATTTGGCAAGAGTTTGGTATTAGGATCCATGGGTGTGTCAACAGGCTTTGAATTCATCAACCCAGCTTCCTCCAAAATATCCAATGCATACTTTCTTTGAGATATAACAATGCCATCGGTAGATTGTGCTACCTCAATACCCAAGAAATATCCGAGTTTGCCAAGATCTTTGGTTTGAAAATGGTGGCAAAGGTGTTGTTTCATCCGAGAGATGCCATGATGGTCACTACCTGTAAGAACAATGTCATCGACATACACTATCAAATAGATACATCCAAGCATTCGAGTGACTGTAAAAGACCGAGTGGTCTCGCCTCACTTCTAGTCATGCCAAATTGTTGAACAACGTCTGCTAAATTTTCCAAACCAGGCCCTAGGAGACCTGTTTTAGGCCATATAAAGATTTGCGAAGACAACATACCAATCCAGAAGACTCCCCCGAGCAACAAATCCGGAGGTTGCTCCATATAAATCTCTTCTTGCAAATCGCCATTCAAGAAAGCATTTTTGACATCCAGTTGATAAAGAGGCCATTGTTGAATAGCGACCATGGCAATGAATAAACGAACGAAGCCATCTTTGCCACTCGGAGAGAAAGTATCACCATAATCCAACCCAAAAATTTGGGTATAGCCTTTGGCTACAAGGCGAGCTTTGAGGCGATCAATAGTACCATCAGGACCAACCTTGATAGCGAAGACCCACCCGCAACCAACAACAGATTTTCCAGATGGTAATGGGACAAGCGTCCAGTGTTCCACTAGTCTCGAAGAGCACCGAGTTCATCTAGCATGGCCTGACGCCAACCAGGGTGGGCTAAGGCTTCGAGAGATAGATTTAGGAATAGACACGTAAGAAATAGACGAGAGACAGGTATAAAATGGTGAAGAAATTCGATGATAACTTAAAGCAATATAATGTGGAGAAGGATTACGAGTAGAATGCGTACCTTTACGAAGGGCAATAGGAAGGTCAGACTCGTGGACTGAACCGGAGGAGGCGAGTATTTGGCACCTGGGAGTGAGTCATGTGGCGTTTGTTGTGGGCGAGGTCTGCGACTATAAACCTGAAGGGGTGGTGGAGGAGGAGGAGCTAATGGTGGATGGTCCTCAACATAAGGATCAATGAGAACGTAAATGGGAACTGTAGTAGATGGAGACTCAGCAGGTAGGGAAGGGTCCTTAAAGTAAAAGGAAAACTCATTGAAGGTGACATCTAGCAGACACAAAATAGCGATTAAGAGAAGGAGAAAAACACTTGTATCCTTTTTGGGATCGAGTAAATCCTAAGAAAACACATTTGTGTGATCGAGGAGATAACTTATCATGACCAGGATCAAAATTGTGGACAAAACAGGTAGACCCAAAAACCTTCGGAGGTAAAGGATGGAGAGTGTCATGAGGAAATAAAATAGAATGGGGAATTTTGTTATCTAAAACCGAAGAGGGCATACGATTAATAAGATAACGAGCAGAGAAGAACGGCATCACCCCAAAAATGTTGAGGAACCTCACCATGAATTAAAAGAGTACGGGTTGTTTCAATAAGGTGTCTATTCTTGCGCTCGACCACCCCATTTTGTTGAGGGGTATAAGCACAGGAAGTTTGATGAAGAATGCCATGAGAAGCCATAAATTGTTTAAACGAGTTTGAAAGATATTCACTGGTCATTATCACTTCGAAAAGTTTGAATAGAGACACCAAATTGATTTTTAATTTCATGATAAAAGTTTTGGAATATAGAAAACAACTCGAACGATTTTTCATTAAAAATAACTAAGTACAACGAGAGAAATCATCAATAAAAGTAACAAAATATTGAAAACCTAAATTAGACTTAACACGACTCGGGTCCCCAAATGTCGAGTGAACTAAGGCAAAGGGGGATGAAGCACGCTGGGAAACACTACGAGAGAAGGAAGTACGACTATGTTTGCCTAACTGACAGGACTCACACACCAAATTGGACAACTGGGATAAGCTGGGAATAAGTTGCTCGTAATTTGCGCAGATCGGGGTGACCAAGCCGAGCATGAAGGAGAGAAGGAGACTCCATAACCGTGCCAACATGTGGAGAAGGTTGAAGATAATAAAGTCCATGTGACTCACATCCGGTGCCAATCACTCTTTGCGAGCTCTGGTTCGTAGGGAAACGAAGTTTTGGTAAAAGAGATAACACAATCAAGAGATCGAGTTAGACTGGCTAATGGATAATAAGTTAAAGGGGGACCCGGTACATACAAAACATTATCAATGGACAACGAGGGAAAAAGAGTAACCGTTCCAACACCATGAGCTAAAGTTGTAGACCCATTAGCCATTGTAACGGAGGGTAAATTATGAGAAGAAGTGAAAGAGGAAAATAAGGATTTGTTACCAGTGATGTGATCGGTGGCGCCTGAGTCAAGAACCCAAGGGCCAATAGAAGAAGAGTGAGTCGGACCAACGAAAAGATGTACCTGTGTGGGCAACGAAGTAGTGGAACCTGGAGGGCTTTCGATCCTCATACCATTGAAGAAAATCATTGAAGATAGCAGATTTGTCCGAAGGTACAGACGAAGGAGGATCCACAACAGAGGATTGTGCGGAAGAATCGGCCCGAGCAACTGCAGCAGATCGGCGAGGATAACCATGTAAAGCATAACATTTGTCAATTTTGTGGCCTAGTTTGCCACAATGGTCACACTTGACACGCCCTTTGCCCGGCTTGTGAGAGCGATTACGATCATCACGGTGAGAGGCCAAGGCGAGATGAATCATTAGAAACTACAGGGGGAATATTGAGAGGTTTACATGGCACCCGCAAAAGGGAGGAACTGGTAGCGGTAAACCGGGTGTAACAGGGGAACCCAAAATCCGGTCACGAACAGGGGCATATTTATCAGGCAAGTCCGTGTAACATCAAAACCATGAAAAACTTTGATCGTTGCTCTAATTCTTGGGCAGGAGTCGAGGCAGGGGGTAATAACTCATTAAATTCATGGAGAAGAGCATGGATCTTACCCACATAATCCGCCACAGGATCCTTATCTCGAGGAGCAATAACATCAAGAAGATTGTAACAAACACCATAAAGACGTTGAGTGTCATTGGTGTATAATAATTTGGCTTGTTCCCAAACGTCATAACATGTGCCATACGATCGAAAAATTTGTTTTAAAGAAGATTGGATGGTATTCTTGAGAACCATACATATATGAGCATCAACTTTCTTCCAACGGACACGATCATTGGAAGGAACATCATCTACCTTGGTAGTAAGATGATCAACATACCCTTGACTCTCAAGCCAAAGTCTAATATCAGATGCCCAAGTTGCATAATTCGTACCATCTAATTTATCAATGGGTAAATTCACATTGACATAATTAGTAAAAACAGATTGCTCAGACCCACCGGAGCTGGCAGAGGTAACTTCAGAATTGGAAGTGGCAGCGGAAGATGTCATGGAGGAAGAGAGAGAAAAACCCTAAAACACCAAAGAGGTCCGATTGGAGCAGCGAGGACAGATCCAGAGAGAGGAGAAGGAGGCGACGCCGGCGCAAAGATCGGCGGCCTGAACGGCGGCGAGACGCGCCGCCACGCGCGGCGGAACGGGAGAAGGTGGCGCGGCTTCGGGAGGCGCGTGAGGGAGCGTGGCTGCTCCGATGACCGCGAAACTTCCACGGTGGAGGTCGCACGGAGGAGGCGAGCAAAACCCTGTGCTCGGCGGTCCGAACTGCTACTCTGGCGACGGCGGCGGCGACGGCGGCGATGGAGGCGGTGACAGCTGCAGGTTCAGTGGCAGAGCCGAAAAAAAATCCCAAGAGACCTTAAGCTCTTGATACCATGTTGAATATAGGGAAAAACTGTATAGGGTTAATTTCCCTTATGTATTTACCACACATAGGGCATTGTATTTATAATAAAGAAAGGTACTCCTCAAAAGAGTAACAGAATACAAATAGAGTAAATAAAAAGATATTATTTGATATTGTGATTAACAATATCTCAACAATATCAAACAATATCAACTAATATCTAATCATATCTAACAATAGTGATTAAAAAAAATACAAAGAATGTGTTATTTCTGGGAAAATATAATATTTGTAGCATATGAAGTTTGTGGTTCAAATGCTTCACACTTGCTCTTTCATTTTCCTGATTAATATATCCATCTTGTTTGTACTTCTACGACCCTTATCATGAAGATTTCTCAAATTTCAGGGGAAATGGACATCCTGTCCAAATTGTTCATCGGTACCATTTTGCATCTCACCTAAAACGAATGGCAGTTGTTGTTCGCATTCAGGATGATTTTTTCTCATTTGTGAAGGTTTGTGAGTTACTAATTGTCTTGTTTAGATATGTATGGTTTAGGATGCATTCCTCGACTAGGTCCTTCTTGATTTTGTTGCTTCTTGTTTAGGTATTATATACTTTGGCTTATTGTTAATGAAGCCATGACTTGAGCATGTAGATTGCAAAAGTAAAACACTCTGTAGTATCTTATATTCTGATTTGTTATGAAATTTTCAATAAAGTCCAAGTTGGGGAAATAGAAATGTATTGGTATAATAGCCATGTGGGTTAAATTGAAGAATATGGCGCTAAAGTATTTTATTTTGTTAACTTCAAATAACTCTTGTAAGAGTCAATAATCTCCAGAAAGCAAATTGTTTCATGTCTCAATGTTTTGAATACCATCTGACTTCTTTAAAAGTCATTTTGTTTTTGTAATTGCTGTGTTTTACGATTAACTTTTCTGGTAGGTTTTTCTTTGTAACATTAAGGCATGTTTTACATGTATTAAGAGGGGATGCATCATATGAGAGATTTGACGGTTAAATGGTGATGAGATAAAAAAATGTACATACTGCAGTAAGTGTTGTTTAGATATGTTCTTGGCAAATAGTAAGTTACTTATTTTGTTTTTTGAGATTTGGTAGTTGGTTCTATTAATGTTGGCTGACCAGTGCACTTTTGTCATTTTGCAAGAGCTTTTATGCATATTAAGTTTCTGAGATTAAATGTTTGAGTGGACTGGTTTTGGTGCTATTTTAAAGCGTGCATCTTTTTTTATTTTTAAAAAACTTTTAAATATTATTTTAACTAGCGAGCTACTGGGTTGTTCTACTGTATTGTTTCCCTCTTATAAATTCTTGTGACCTTTTATTTCAGGGTGCCCCAGAAGTTATAGAATATAGGCTCATTGATATACCACCATCATATGTTGAGACCTACAAAAAATACACACGTCAAGGGTCTCGTGTTCTTGCTCTGGCTTACAAATCTCTCGCTGACATGACAGTAAGAATATTATGGGTTTTACACTGTTTCATGATTTCTCCACTGTATATTCAGTTATGCACAAGAGAACAACGATAATTGTTTAAGTTTACTGCCTTGTCATTTTTAGTTATTCAAAGTGGGTAAACCTCGGTGACTGGAAGACATATTCTTTGTGTTTCTAATTTGGCTTTATCTATGGCACCTATTTTTGTATAGTTTTACACTAAAGTTAGTTTTCCCTTTTCTATTATTTCATCAAATGTGGATCCTAAAATTAAGTGTAAATAAGAGTCAGAGAACTGCATTTTTCTCATCTTCTCTCCTGAAGAATGCTTGGTTACTTTCCTTGTATACCATTTGTTGCTTCATCAATTCCTTTCAACCCTTGTTTGCATTGTTGCTCATTATTTTTTTATGCTTGAAGGTCAGTGAAGCTAGAAACATGGATAGGGATATTGTGGAGAGTGGACTAACGTTTGCGGGTTTTGTGGTAATCAGCCAACATCCTCATATAACCTTTGAGTCAATTCTAGACATTCTTCCTCTTCATTGATGCTAAAAGTCATTATGGTGTTATTTTCAGGTATTTAACTGTCCCATAAGATCAGATTCAGCCACTGTTTTATCTGAATTAAAAGGATCATCACATGACTTGGTAAGTGTGCTATTCAAATTAGCTTCTCTTACAAGAAAACAAATTACTTTTCTTAGATGTAAAAAACTCTTGTATGGGGAAATGAGCTCTTTTATTCTACTTTAGGATCTGAAGTTTAAGCTTATGCCAAGTGTGATTTTTTAAAATTTTTTTGAAATTTTGCGATTTTGTTTCATGGTGTTTTACATTTTAATTTATATCTGTTCAAGCACTTTTGAGTTGAGTGTAATGGGATTGTAGAATCTATGTGGTCATCTTAGTGGGAATAGGGCTTGGTAAGCGTGAATGAAAGATAAATGTCATAAAATTAGAAGTTCACAATACATGGGCGTTTAGGATGGATAAGAAAATAAGATCATTAGTGGGAAGGTTGGGGTCAAGATCGTTGCATCGTATTTTAGACCATAGGGTTGTATGCTTGTGCAACTTTTGCTTGATGCTATTAATAGGATCACATTCAAACAAGATTTAGTAAGATTGTCTGGGATTACAGGATTGGTTGTGGAATTGGATGACCCAATCATGCTGGCCTAATGTCCCTAAACCTGAAATCTTTAGACCTCAAGACCAAACAAATCTTCTGTCATTCATTCAACTCTTCCCTACTATCTGTTAAAACACGCTTTGAGCTTTGATAGTGGGTTCTGAGCTGCAATCTATGTTTGCTACTGGTTATGATTGGGTGGTGGTTGAGGAAGAGAGGGTTGGATGGTGATTTTTCCCCTGCTTTCTGCTTCTGATTTTATCTGTGTCAGCTATCAGTTGGCAGTGTTCTGCTGCTTGATGGCTTTTTATTTGCTTGTGTGTGATTTGTTTTGTTTGCTGTGGTCTAATTGTTTTAGGGATCTGTTTTGAGACCTTGGAGAAGAGTGCTCTCTTATTTCTTGTTCTTTTCATTCTATTCAATAAAAATATTTATTTTCTTTCACTTCTCAATTCTTGGTTCCTGTTGAATATAAAGAAAATATAGTTTGAAATTAATTTCCCTTGTGTATAAATCACACATAGGGTGGTCTATTTATAGTAGAGAAATACAACTAAAAGAGTAACTGAAAGTAACAGAATAAACAGAAGATATTGTTTGATATTGTGGTTACCAATATCTAACAATATCAAATAATATATAAACAATATCTAACACTCCCCTCAAGTTGGAGCATACAAATCGTATGTGCCAAGCTTGTTACAAATATAATCAATTCTAGGACCCCGTAAAGATTTAGTAAAAATATCTCGCTAACTGATCACTTGAGTTAACAAACTCGGTCTTGATATCTCCAGACATAATCTTTTCTCGAATAAAATGACAATCAATCTCAATGTGTTTGGTCCTCTCATGAAAGACAGGATTATAACTAATATGAAGAGCAACTTGATTGTCACACACAAGTGTCATTTGAGTGACATCTCCAAATTGTAACTCTCTAAGCAATTGCTTGAGCCAAACAAGTTCACAGGAAGTCGAGGCCATAGCTCTATATTCTCGCTTCGCACTGGATCTTGCCACAACACTTTGTTTCTTACTTTTCCATGAAATCAAGTTACCACCAATGGAGACACAATATCCAGATGTAGATCTTCTATCCGAAGGAGATCCCGCCTAATCGACATCCGAGTAGCAAACAACTCTTGTATGGTTATTAGAAGCATATAACAATCCTTTTCCAGGAGATCCTTTAATATACTTCAAGATACGAATGACCGCATTCCAATGATCTTCACATGGTGAATTAAGAAATTGACTTACCACACCGATCGCAAAGGAAATGTCGGGACGAGTAACTCGTAAGATAATTCAATTTTCCAACCAATCTTCTATACTGCTCAGGATCGGATATAGGCTCCCCCGATTTGGTAGAAGTTTAGTATTGGGATCCATGGGTGTATCAACGGACTTTGAACTCATCAACCTAGTTTCTTCCAAAATATCTATGGCATACTTCCTCTCGAGATATAACAATACCATCATTGGACCGTGCTACCTCAATACCCAAGAAATATCTAAGTTTGCCAAGATCTTTGGTCCGAAAATGGTGACAAAGATGTTGTTTCAACCGAGAGATGCCATGGTTGTCACTACCTGTAAGAACAATATCATCAACATATACTATCAAGTAAACACATCCAAGCACTCGAGTGTCGATAAAAGACGAATGATCCGATTCACACCGAGTCATACCAAATTGTTGAACAACCTTGCTAAACTTTCCAAACCAAGCCCTAGGAGACTGTTTTAGGCCATATAGGGATTTGCGAAGACGACATACCATCCCGGAAGACTCCCCCGAGCAACAAACCCAGGAGGTTGCTCCATATATATTTCTTCTTGCAAATCACCATTGAGGAAAGCATTTTTAACATCCAGCTTGATAAAGAGGCCATTGTTGAAGAGCAGACCATGGCGATAAATAAACGAACGAAGCCATCTTTGCCACAGGGGAAAAGGTATCTCCATAATCCAACCCAAAAATTTGAGTATAACCTTTGGCCACAAGACGAGCTTTGAGGCGATCAATAGTACCATCGAGTCCAACTTTGATAGCAAACACCCACCCGCAACCAACAACAGATTTCCCGAGACGGTAACGGGACCAATTCCCAAGTTCCACTATTATGAAGAGCACTTAGTTCATCTAACATGGCCTGACGCCAACCAGGATGGGCTAAAGCTTCACGTACGCTTTTGGAATGGTCACGAGAAGAAATAGAGGAAAGACATGTATAAAAAGGTAATGACAATCGATGATAACTCAAAGCAATATAATGGGGAGATGGATTACGTGTAGAACGAATACCTTTTCGGAGGGCAATGGGAAGGTCGGACTCATGTGTCGGATCCGGAGGAGACAGAGTAGTTGACACTTGAGTAGAGTCACATGGTGGTGGTTGTGATTGGTTTCGAGAACTATAAATGCGAAGAGGTAGTGGAGAAGAAGCTAACTCGCGGAGCGTAAACTAATGGTGAAGAAGACACAATTAGAGGGTCACAAACAACAGGAACATTAAATGTATTAGGAGTGTTGACAAGATTGGATGGAGACAGAGGTGAAGTTTGACTTTTAAAATAAAGAGACAACTCATCAAAGGTGACATCTTTTGACACAAAATAACGGTTAAGAGAAGGAGAAAAACATTTGTATCCTTTTTGTGATCTTGTAAACCCTAAGAAAACACATTTATGTGATCTAGGAGAAAGCTTGTCCGGACTGAATTGAAATTATGAACAAAACATGTAGACCCGAAAACTTTCGGAGGTAAAGGATGAAGTGGTTCATGAGGGAATAAAATGGAATGAGGTATTTTATTATCTAAAACCGAAGAAGGCATGCGATTAATGAGATAACATGCAGTAAGAAGAGCATCACCCCAAAAATGTTGAGGAACATCTCCATGAATTAAAAGTGTGCGAGTTGTTTCAATAAGATGTCTATTTTTACGTTCAGCTACACCATTTTGTTGAGGTGTATAAGCACAAGAAGTTTGATGCAAAATACCGTGAGAAGCCATGAATTGTTTAAAAGAATGAGAAAGATATTCACGGCCATTATCACTACGCAAAACTCTAATAGAAACACCGAACCGAGTTTGAATTTCATTAAAAAAAGTTTGAAAGATATGAAATAATTCGAACGATTTTTCATCAAAAATAACCAAGTGCATCCGGAATAATCATCAATGAAAGTAACAAAGTATTGAAAACCTAAAGTAGACTTAACGCGGCTAGGTCCCCAAATGTCGAGTGAACCACGGCAAAAGGGGACGAAGCACCACGTGTGAAACTACGAGGAAAGGAAGTACGACTATGCTTGCCTAATTGACATGACTCACACGCCAAACTAGATAAGTTAGACAAGGCGGGGACAAGTTTCGTAACTTGGCAAGGCTTGGATGACCTAACCGAGCATGAAGAAGAGAGGGAGACTCCATAACTGTACTAACATGTGTAGAGGGACGGAGATAATAAAGACCATGAGACTCACATCCTGTGCCAATCACCCGTTTCGAACTCCGGTCCCGTAAACACACGTAATTGTTAGTAAAAGTAACAACACAATCAAGAGAACGAGTTAGACGATTGATGGACAACGAAGTTAAAAGGAGACCCAGGGACATAAAGAACATTATCAATGGTTAAAGAAGGAAAGAGTTTAACCGTTCCAACACCATGAGATGATACTCTAGAGCCATCGACCGATGGTAATGAAGGTAAATGATTAGGAGAGGATAAAGAGGAGAACAAAGATTTGTTACCGAGTAATATGATCAGTGGCTCCTGAATCAAAAATCCAAGGACCAGGAGAAAATGATTGGGTCGGACCAAGCAAAATATGTATTTGTATGTGTGACAGATATAGTGGAACTAGAAGACTGTTGATCCTTATACCATTCGAGAAATTTGTTGAACATAGCGAGACATGTCGGATGCAACAGAAGAAGGAAGATCCCTACGGATAAAGGTGGGGAAAGATTGGTCCGAACAACTACAGCAGACTAAGGAGAACGACCATGTAATGTATAACACTTGTTAATCTTGTGACCTAGCTTGCCACAATGTTCACACTTAGGACGCCATTTTTCCTGTTTGCGAGGGCGAGCCCGGTCATCACGATGGGATGTCAACACAAAAGAATCGTTAACAAAATTGGAAATAGTGGAAGAAGTCATGAAGAGCGGGAGAACAAACCCCGACCGAGACAAGCAAAATCATATGTCACCGGTAAAAAAAATGAAACTCCGGCGAATTCTCCGACAGCAGCGGACCCGATGGCTCAGCTCCAGTGGCAGCGGTGACGATAACGTGAACTAGTACACTAGGTAAGTTCCCAGGAAAGAGAGGTGGGTCACTAATGGACACACTTAAATACCAAGTCTTTCCTTGCCGAACTTTCCTAAACATGCACTTTCACACTACCAAATAAAATTCAATGACAAAGATAATTCTTTTCGATGTGGAGGATCGGCTTACCGAGCAGCGGTGGGGCGGCTCTAGCGACGGTGGGGCGGCTCCAACAAGTGGACAAAAGGCGGAAAAAAAATTCAAGATAACCTTAAGCTCTAGATACCATGTTGAATATAAAGAAAATATAGTTTGAAATTAATTTCCCTTGTGTATAAATCACACATAGGGTGGTCTATTTATAGTAGAGAAATACAACTAAAAGAGTAACTGAAAGTAACAGAATAAACAGAAGATATTGGTTACCAATATCTAACAATATCTTAACAATATCAAATAATATATAAACAATATCTAACAGTTCCTAACATGGGGCTATTTTGTTTTAGTGTATTTTTAGTTTTATATTATGAAGAAACAAAAAAATTATGCCTTTATGAATCATATTGTTAAGGTTCCAACATAAAACCAATTGGCTATATGTGGAGTAGCCTAACATGTATTTAAACCATACCAAATGATATGAGGTAGGCGATGTGGGACTTTCAACACACCCCCTCCAACGAAGCCTGCCGGACCAGGCAAAGGGTACTTTTAACCCAACTAAAGGGCAACTTTTGGCCCATGACAATAACCGGAAAGATGTTAGGCTTTGGCTCTGATACCATGTTAAGGTTCCAACATAAAACCAATTGGCTATATGTGGAGTAGCCTAACATGTATTTAAACCATACCAAATGATATGAGGTAGGCGATGTGGGACTTTCAACACATATCTTTATTTTGAGCAACTTGTAATCTTTTGCATTTGTACTTGAAGTTCAATTAAATATTAGTTGTAGTTTTAATTATAAGTTAATTTTCATTTTATGTTATTTTATTTCTGTGTGACTATAATTTTATATTTAGATAGGATCTACAATCTATGTTATTACGTAACATCATGTCATTAAATATAACATGTTTAATTCCCCATCTAGATTTTGGCTGGGATCTTAATGTGGACTACAGTGGTTGAATTGGACTAGCTTCTGGAATGAAAATATGACGAAGAACCATTAATAGACAATTTGATAAGCAAGTCTGTTCGTACACAATCCTCAGTATGATTTAAAATTACGGATGATTGTCCTTTACCCTTTGTTTGAGTGATTTAGGACAGAAAAACTTAAAAAGGGTATTAAATGTTTCCCTATTTTGTTCGAGAAAGAATTAGGAATTTATTTTAAAGAAAATCTATGGAACCCACTATATTTGATTTCCATGCTCCGGAGTGCGATTTCCGACAGAAATGAACTTTAGCTGCGTTATATACTGTTTTTTCACTGTCGTATTTTTTTTAAGTCTATAGTGAGACAAATTTAGTTGTATTAAAAATGATTTGGCACATTTAAGATTTCTCATACTTGGGTGGGAAGATGTTGTGGTTATTGTTGTTGTTGTATTAGTAATGATTTGGCACATATGATATTTCTCATACTTGAGTAGGAAGATGTCTTTGTTATTGTTGTTGCTTAAGCATGATTTGCTAATATGTCAGACTGGTTTCTGCGAAGGCCTTTAGTAAGATGTGGAAGACTTTTAGCCTACCTTTTAGTGGCGTTGAGTATTGATTATTGTTGGCAGTTACTCAAGTTCCTTGGATCAACATAACTCTTTTAAGATTTTTTCAATATGTTCCATTGGAGAATAATATTAATTTGAACTTCAAATTGTCATTACCAAATTTTTTCTTTAGATTTCATTAATCTCATTTTAAGAATATTTGTAACTGTACAGTGGTTTTCTACTGATCTTTGATTTGGGATATCTCTGGGTTAGCTAGCTGCTTATGTTCAACGTGTTACCCTTGTGTATTCTTTTGATTAATGTAAAGTTACCCCTAACTCCCCTACTTTAGGGTGTATGTGGGGCCTGAGATAGAGGGTGTGGGGATCCTTAAATTAGAAAGAAGCAACTGACTAGCATCTTTAACTTATTTTATAGGTGATGATTACCGGTGACCAAGCTTTGACAGCTTGCCATGTTGCTAGCCAAGTTCATATTATATCAAAACCTACATTGATCCTTGGCCCAGCACGAAATGGTGAGGGATATAATTGGCTGTCTCCTGATGAGACTGAAAACATTCGCTACAGGTACTTTTTGTTCTTTTCTGGTTGCACTATCTTACGTATGCAAATAATTCTTGTTCTTTTTTAGCTTTAGACATGTAGTTTTTTAATGTGAAACCTCTCTATTGGCCTTTGTTCTTTTTATTATCTTTCGACAAACTTTTTTGTTCGGCAAAATTGTTGAGCTGGAGTTTGTACTCCCCAATGCATCCAAAGTCCATACACTTTGTCATTTTTAATTTTGTAAAACAATTTGGACTTATAATATTTATAATTGGTTTTAGTGAGAAAGAGGTTGAATCTTTATCAGAGACCCATGATCTCTGTATTGGAGGTGATTGCATTGAGATGTTGCAACAGACATCAGCTCATCTTCTGGTCATTCCTCATGTGAAGGTTCTGATCTATTCCAAATAGCTTAACATTAAAAATGAGTTTTTGATACTGCCTTCATCAATGACAATTGCTTTTTTCCCAGGTTTTTGCCAGAGTTGCTCCCGAGCAAAAAGAACTTATCTTGACCACTTTCAAAACAGTTGGACGGTTAACTTTGATGTGTGGGGATGGAACCAATGATGTTGGAGCTTTGAAGCAGGTAATGTGTATAGGTTATATTCAAAAGTTGTGTTTTTTGTTCTTCTGAATGTTAGTCATGTCAGTCATCAGTAGGAGATAAAATGTTTTAGTCTGTTACAAATTACAACCTCCATACCCACCAACCTTATTTTAAGGAACCTTAGTAATACAATTAGTTAGTCACATCTGAAGGATAGTTGTCAAAACAGGCCACTAGGCTTCCTGGTTTGGCTGCCACGGTTGAGCTCAAAGATAAGCCAGGTTAAGTGGGCTTGAGTAATGTTGACACGGGAAAATTATAATTTCTTAATTAAATATACAGAAACCTGTGAGGTAGCCTGACTCACCATGCATATGCCTGGTCCATCATATGCTGCATCAAAATAATCCGGGGTGTATATGAGCTGATCTTTTCGTCTTTTTTTTCTTTGCAATCTAACTCATCCATGATCATGGGTTGAACTATCTTGGTTCTCAGGTTGGGAACCCTGATAAGTCCTATTCGATTATGTAGCCTTATTACTCCAGTCAATTTTTTAATTATTATAAATGAAAAATGACAAACATTTGAATCTGGTATCTTGTTATCACTGATATTAATGCGATGCTGTTAGTCATAAATTGGCATTATTTTTGAGGTACTTGCAAGTATCTGTTACCAAAAAGAATAATACAGGCTGGAAGTCTCAAGCAAACTTTTCTGGTTTAGGCCCACGTAGGAATCGCTCTTCTGAATGCAATTCCTCCAACTCAAAGTGGAAACTCTTCTTCAGAGTCGTCGAAGGAAGATGGTTCAAAATCTGTCAAGCTAAAGAAATCTAAGACTGCACTGGACACATCTGGAAAGAGTGCTGGTGAAGGCACTTCCAAAGCCAAAGCTGCTTCAAAATCAGATTCCACTAGCCACTCATCTGGTAACCGTCATCAAGCAGCTGCTGAGATGCAACGCCAGAAGCTTAAGAAGATGATTGATGAGCTTAATGAGGAAGGAGATGGTCGTGCACCCATTGTCAAGCTTGGTGATGCCTCAATGGCGTCTCCGTTCACTGCTAAGCATGCATCTGTTGCTCCCACCACTGACATAATTCGTCAAGGTCGGAGTACTCTAGTGACAACCCTGCAGATGTTCAAAATTCTGGGTCTCAACTGTCTTGCTACTGCATATGTGTTGAGTGTTATGTATCTAGATGGTGTCAAACTAGGTGACGTACAAGCCACAATAAGTGGTGTATTCACTGCTGCATTTTTCCTCTTCATCTCACATGCACGCCCTCTTCCCACTCTTTCTGCTGAACGTCCTCACCCTAACATCTTCTGTGCTTATGTTTTCCTTTCCCTCTTGGGACAATTTTCTATTCACCTGCTTTTCCTTATTTCGTCTGTGAAAGAAGCTGAAAAATACATGCCAGATGAATGCATTGAACCTGATGCTGATTTTCATCCTAACCTGGTGAATACGGTTTCCTATATGGTGAGCATGATGCTTCAGGTGGCCACATTCGCTGTGAACTATATGGGCCACCCGTTCAACCAGAGTATTTCTGAAAACAGACCGTTCCGGTATGCACTTGTTGCTGCTGTTATTTTCTTTACCGTGATTACATCTGATATCTTCAGGGACTTGAATGACTGGTTGAAGTTAGTGCCATTGCCGGTGGGATTAAGGGATAAACTATTGATTTGGGCGTTTCTAATGTTTTTGGTTTGCTACTCGTGGGAGAGACTATTGAGATGGGCATTCCCTGGTAAGATCCCGGCTTGGAAGAGGCGACAACGACTTGCTGTATCTAATTTAGAAAAGAAGAAACAGGTCTAAGTAGTTTGACGAAGAAAAAGACTGACGATGAGCATTGCAATGATGACTAGGTCAACAGGACATGATGAATTTTGTTATAGGTTCTTTATTAATTATCATTCTATCTCTTTCCCAACGATGGACGGGGAATATATTCCATGTCAAATTGTTTTTGGGAGAAAGGTATGAATTTTTGAACACGTGCCCTCCCATCTGTCTGATATGATGATTTTTGTCAGCATAGGAGTTTTTTATTATTTTAAGGTTATGATTCATTATACTCTGATTTTCTTTTTTTAACAAGCAATATCACACTCAACCTCTTTTCTTTGCTTGTTAACTTAAGAATGCGTTTGTGTATTAAGACAGCGTTAACTTAGTTTACATGCCTGGTTGAATGGAAATTTCTTTAGTTTTCAATATATTTATTTTCTAGTTCACTACTATTTTTTAAAAATCAAACTTTAAACAGTGTGGGTTGAAAAATATTTGATTACTTTGTAATTAAAATATGGTTCGGTGTTAAAAGATGTGATTGTCTACTTGGAATTTGAAAAATGAGTGCCTACGCATTTAAAAGCTGAAAACATCCTCATAATGTTATACACCATTTAATAAACACTGGTTTTAAAAAAGGCAGAGTGAACATTTTGAATTGGGAGTCACGCAAGTAATGTGTAAAATTGCTTAAATGAATAATGCAATATTTTTAGTGAATTTTTTTAAGATAAATAAAATATTAAATACAATTTAAATAAGGCGTTAAGCCAAGAGAAAATAAAAAAAAATTAAATGTTATTATTGCTTAGGAGTATATATATATATATATATATATATATATATATATATATATATATATATATATATATATAATTTTCTTTAATATCATAATGAAATTTATGTCATTTTGTCCTTAATAATTATATTGTGTAATATAATATATGTATATATTATGTTATTAAATATATGAATATTTCAAAAATGTGTCAGAACATGTATAATTGTAAATCAAGAATGAAAGATTTTAAATGTATCAAAAATGAAAGATTTTAAATGTATATTCAACATTTTTTTTATGATTCTTGTTGTTGAGTAAATAATTTTCTCTTTTGTCTTTATGTGACGTTGATATAGTTTTCATAAATGTAGCAAAATCTGAATAAATACCATCTACTAAATAATATCACATATCATATTGCGTTACATTCATAGTGTAGTGTACTGTACATGCAAAACTTTATTAAACACATTAGATGTATTTAATACAGTGATATCATTATTTGATTTTGTGGTACCAAAAAATGCACGTCAAATCCATAAGTTTTCTAATGTCATAGCTTTGAGAATGATTGTTTGGTTGGTATGATCACCGACAAATTGAACTTTTCCATGCTAATTGGACAATTTTTTCCATACCCAATATATTGTAATCAATTGATCCTAACATACTTAGAAAATCACATGTCACTTCCATTTGTTGTTAGGCCTCCTTAAATACTTATTTCTAAAGATTTCATAAATGTTTGATACAAATTTATCAACACTATCAGCAGGTGAACCATAAGCCAATATGCAAACTGTAGTTCACTTTTGCAAAGGTGACTGACCTATTCTTTGTGTTGCATCTAACCTCGCATTTAACCTTAGTGTAAAGTAATCACCATGATTGTCAAGAGCTTCTACAATTCTTACAAAAACCTTCCTGCGTATATGAAACCTTCTTCGAAATTGAAATTTTGTATATACAGGATTTTCGGCAAAATAATCATGGAACAATCGATGATGACCTTCTTCACGATTTCGATGAACTATCTTTCTTCCTTGTCTGTCACCACCATTGTTATCGACTTGTTGTTGGTTCTCAAGTAATAACCTCATGATTTCTTCATCATTGTTATCTTCAAGTTCTCTATCTATGACTTGATCCAACAATGCGTCTAAGTCAATGTTTTCAAAATCTATTGTATAGATAATTGGAGTATTTGAAAACAAAGAATAATATTGTAAAACTAGAAGATGTGAGACATCGCATAACATTCCACAACTATATATAGATTCATAACGACTAATTTTACAATGGATAAATTTTACAACGGTTAATTTTCACAATAATTACTTTTCATTTCATAATGACTAATACTTTTTTGAACAATTATAAGTAGTTATCATAATGAATAATATATTTAAAATCCTCATTTTTGTCTAATATAACTACAATATTTGTCGTGATCTTTCACGTTACTTCTCAGACATGTTAGACTTACCTTCATGAGATTTCATACACTAAGTGCATTTCTTGTGACTTCTTTCACTCAATCAATTCTTCAAACTGTGTTTTTTTTTTCCTTTTATTGCACTTTTTATGCCAGATAAATCAATATGGGAAATAACACTTGCACTTTCTTTTCCTTTGCTCTTTCTCTTGACTGCCTTTTGTCCTATAGGACAAAATATTAGTGATGTTGTGTCACATTCTTCAACTTCGTGCAGTGTCTTTAGATTAAAAGATGATGAATATGTGCCTGAAGTAGAAATTTAACATCTTTTTGAAGAATTGTCGATTACTATTTTAGTTCATCTCTTAACAACAATCAAACATGTTCATATTCAAATTTTTTCCCTTTCAAATCTTCTATGAAAATCTTATGAACGAATAACATAACATCTTTCTCGGTCCAACAACCATTTTTCCTTTGATTGGTAACTTTTTGTAGCATGCATTAAAATTTTGAACTGCAAGTTGATGTTTACTCCAACAAAATTTTAATTGACTCATTGACTTCTTTGTGAAAACGCTATCTTCGTCATCATTATTATATGTTTATTTAATTCACTCTCAATATGGGGTTAATGAGTAATCAACTCCAACAATTAAATTATTCGACACATTCAACTATGATCAAATTAAAATCATATCCTCTGATATTGAGAATGTTACGTCAGATTTTCTTTATGACATATTTTCACCGTTTCCATCAAGTTGGACATTATCGAGTCCAAATGAGCAAGTAAACTATATGTTGGATGAAGGAGGAATGCCGGATATGGTAAAAACATAAAAGATGATGGTGGATAAATATAATTTTAGAAATTTTCACCGTAAGAGATTAATGATTTTACAATAAATTATAATAATATTGATAATTAAACTAGTTGAGATCCAGAATGAGAAGAAGAAAAATGGTGATACCAAGAATATATGAAATTTTGTTACGCTTGATGGATGTTTTATAGAGTAAAAAAAAAACAGGTGAATGATTTCTCAATGGTAAAATTTGAAACTGCAGGTAAACAACTACTCAACGGGGCTAACAACGAACACCTCAAATGGTCAAATTTTTTTTTTTTCTCTTCCATTTTGCATTCTCCATTTCAGTTTCTCCTCACTCAGATCTCCTTTCTCCTTCCTCAAATCTCCTTTCTCCATTTGATTCTTGATATATCCTTTTTCCGTGTCACTTCTCCCTCTTCCCCTTTTTGCTCTATCTCTTCCCCTTATGTCTGTTGTTCGCTGCCATTATTTGTGTTCGCCTCTACTTTGCCTCCATTATCTGCCTTTGTTATCTGCATCTGCACTCGCCTTTGCATCCGCCTCCACGTCCCTGTCCGTTTCCGCATCCACTGTTCGCATCTATTCCTGCTTTGTCTACCTTCATTGTCAGTGCATTCGCGGCCGATCGCTGTTGTATCCACGACTCGCCCAGTGCTGCATTTTTTTTTTTATAATTTTATATATTTTAATTTTGATTCTGAAATTGATTATTATTAGTTGATGATTATTGTTATTGATAATTTTTTTTTCAAGATGTTTTGGATTGATGAAGAATTTTGAATTAATAGTGAGTGATTTTTATTTATTATTAAAAAAATTAATATTTTATTTAAAGAAATTGTGCTTCACAAAATAATTACGACGAACCTCTCAATAAAAGAGTAAAACATTAAAAAAATTGAGAAACGTAATATTTGAACTCTATTAAAAAGTTAATTATAACACAAAACATGCTTCAAATCCATCCAACATGTGATTTGCAGTCATGAATTTTTTTAATATGCGATAACCATTTTTTTTGTTCTTAATTTTCGAATTTAAATATATTTTTATTTTTTAAAATATAACAAATTTTAGTTTTAATCTTCATAAACATTAAATTTAGTTCTCAAATTTATATTTCATATATCTGTTGTGTGAACGACTGATTAGATATAGATAAAGAAAGACTGGTAACATATTTAGAGTTTGTTTTATTTATTTTTATTTTTTAGTTTTTAAAAACTGTTTTAGAGATGAATTTTGAAAAACTATTTTTAAAAATAGGTTAGAATTTTTTTAATCATAATTCTAGTTTTAAAAATTATTTTAAATGAAAGAGCATGACCATAAAAAAGTCGTAGCGAGAGTTGAAAAATATTTTTGTTAGCTTTATAATAATGAAAATAATTTGTGTAATTATTGGATAAAACGTTGATATCTGGCCAATACAAAAAATTATAAAAAAATATCTTTTATCAGTTTTGATTTTTTAATTTTTAAAAATTAAAAAACAAAATTAGTTTTCAAAAACTATTTTAATAAAACAGGTATCAAATAAGTTTTCTAATTTTAAAAACTAAAAAAACTTGAAACAATTTTTAAAAAGAGTAAACGAACAAGCCTTTAAAATTTAAATGAATTAAAATCAATACTTTCAACATTTAAATTTTAAATTTGTTTTAGAACTATTAAATTTAATTATTTTTATTTTCAAAATAACAAATGCTTTTTCTTTATTTGTTATCTTGATATTAAAATAGTGCATAGAAGTATTTATGTACATGTTCATAAGATTATCATTCATTCTTTTCGTAATGTAATGATATAAAATATTAAGTTTTACCTCTTAGTTTACAGTTAGTGGATCATTTATCTCTCTTTCTTTTTATATATGATGTATTTTTATCTTCTATCATTTATTACTAATTTGAGCATCATCCTATTTGTTTAAGAGGACAAGAATATAAGACACTGAGACCAAATGTAG